GATTATTTTGGCTACTTGGGTGGTCATTAAGCAAAGGAAAATTATTTGGAATACTCTTAAAATGTGGTTTAGTTGGTGAGACTTTAAAAGTTGATCGTCTGAAAGGATAACTTATATGAAAATATTCGGAGTTGGAGTGGTGGCTTTTTTTGTTTCCAGCTTTTTGGGGAAAAACCTAAGGCCTGATTTAGAAGTTAAATACCAGCAAGAAGTAGGAAGAAAAATGATTGAAGAAAAACTAACTACGCAGGAGGAACTAGTCAAAAAGGCGTTGGAGAAGCAAAAGCAAATAGATAAGTTCATCACCGAAAAAAAGCGATTACCTACCACAATGCCGCTTGGCAACATCTCTTTATTCCTTAGTTTCATTACAGTAGTCATAATCGCTCCGATTGTAGAAGAATGTTTGTGCCGTTACTTAATCTTTGAAATTTTCGGTAACTCTAATATCTTTGCTTATATTTTCTCAGGTTCAATTTTTATTTTCTTGCACTGAGCGGGCGGGATTCTCAATCTTACGTCTCTTAGTCTGCTTTTGATCAATTATCTCCCGATGACTATTCTTTTCATCTATGCTTATCACGAAAGTAAAAAAAATATTACTTATCCTATTTATTTTCACATGATGTGAAACTTAATTGTTTTTTTGTCCACCACTGCTGCTATTTATAAAGTTTCTAGTTAAAACACAATTATAATAAATAATTAAATTAATATATATATATATATATAATGAAAAAAGAAGAAAAAATAAAAAAAGCATATGAAATATTAGGAGTGGCAGAAGATGCTTCCGAAAAAGAAATCATAAAAGCCTATCGGAAGTTAGCTTTAAAATGACACCCTGATAAAAATCAGGGCAACGAGGAGGAAGCTAAAAAAAAATTTCAGGAAATTGGTTGAGCAAAAGATACTTTGCTAAGCAAGGAAGAAGTCAAAGATGATTTTGAGGATAATGATGATAATAGTAGTTACCGCGAAAGCGAAACTCATGTAAAATGGTGAAGAAAAAGCACAATTGAGCACTTAAAAAGAATATTGAAAATCTACGAAATTAGTCATTCAGAATATGAAAAGACTATTCGAGAAGATATCATACCAAACAAAAAAAATGATTTAGATTGAAAAAAGTATTGTGAAAAATTCATCAATTTTGAAGAAGAGTTGGAAAAGTTATTTTCGACTGAGGAAATGAAAAATTATGAGGAGCATTGTAAATCAGTGATTAGTTGCGTCAAAAGTATTATAGAGAGAAAATCAGAAGAAAACAAAAAAACTAAAACTGCTGAGATATTTGAAGAATTAAACAAAGAAAAAGATAAAGAAGATAAATGAAAAAAAAAAGGGGGAAGGCGGGAAAAAAAAAAAAAAAGGTGGGGGGGAGCACGAGGCATCGGAGAGGACACCTTTTTT